GTCTTGCACAGTGCGGTCTTGCATTGTCGTGTTGCAGTAGAATGACGCCCTTTTCCGTTGACAGTCGCCAGATATTTTTCGATTCAAGATTGGTTCACTCGATCCAATTGTTCACAATAAAGGATCTACATTAACAGTTTGTCCAGGTTTTCAGCAATTCAAAATGAACAATTCCGCGAATACTCCATTAAACACACAGGAGCGCCTTTATAGGGATGTAAACCCTTTGTAACCCTATTAAAACTGCCTTTTGAGTTTTGGATTATCATACAGGACTTATTTTTTTGTCTCCACTAATCAAACGATCAAAAAACGGTTCTGTATGGTGTTGTTGAAGCAATATGTTGCATGTGATGGATAGGTTGGCTTTGTTCTTTTTGGACAGATTACGGGGGGACTCAAACACCTGCTTTGCTTATGTTTCCATTTTGCTTTAAATGTTGAAGGTTGTATGACCAAGGTTGGTTAAGACTGTTTGACATGGATTTGCTTCTACTTCTGCCCTTAGCATGTTGCTGTCGACATGCGCAGAAACAACATTACTTTCCGGTCCCCCTATTATATATATATATATATATATATACGAAATAGGATTCAAAAGTTCCCGGACTGAGTCTAAAACATAAAAAAATATTATGAATTAAACTGCAGAAACACAGGGATGTTGCCATCCATATCTAAGATAGTATTACATCTCTTTATCTGAGGTTGTTCACGGCTAATATTTTTGATCAATTTCCACAATTTCGTGTCAGATGATCTAGCATCAAGTCCCTCACATATATCCATCCATTTTCCCCTCTTAAATAGCCTATAAGTTCTTTTTTTCCCTGCATTGTTCATCTCTGTCCTGTTTTGCTCTGTATTATTGTTTTTTAATTCGAGTCACATGTTCTCTCTCTTCTGGAGCAAGGGCACTTGAGGATCTTGACTTGACCAAAACTCCTGGACCTGATGGTATCCATGGCCAGATGATTGGGCATCTTGGCACTCATGCAAAAAATAAATTTCTGAATATAGTAAATCAATCTTGAAGTCTAGGACGCCTTCCTAGACTCCAAGATTGTGACTAGACTCCAAGATAGGAGTGGAAAAGAGCCACAATTATACCTGTTGAGAAACCTGGCCAAACCGGATGGTTCTCCATGGGAGCTTTAGACCCATTGCCCTAACCGAGCATTGCATGTAAAGTCATGGAAAAAATTATCATGGGGCAGTTGCTTTTTCACCTGAACACCCACGACCTCCCACAAAAAGAACAATACGGTTTCAGAAGAGGTCATAGCACCACTGATCAATTGGTCTATCTCAGCCAGAAGATTAGAGATGCCCAAAACAAACGACCTACCAATCATACTGTGGCTGCTTTTCTAGACTTGTCAAGAGGGTTTGACCGTGTCTGGAAACATAAACTAATTGTTAAACTCTACGAAGATTTTGGCATCAGGGGTAAAGCCTTGATCTGGATCGCAGATTTCTTGAGAAATAGACTGATAAAAGTAAAGCTTAATTTTTTCTGCCTGTATTTGGCTGGAATTGAGAAGATTATATCAAGGAAATGTGAGGTTGGTCTATTTGCGGATGATATTGCCCTTTGGAGCTCTGGCCTAGATGCGAGTTCAATTGAGACCAAGATTAATTTTATCCTTGAAGAAGTGTGGAAATTCTCGAAAGGCCACAAATTGAGTTTTAATCCACCTAAATTTATTGTTAGTTTTTTTTTTTTTTTTTTTTTAACCACCAATAAGAAGATTTATAATTATCATCCAAAGATTTTTATGAATAATTTGCCCCTTACATATGACAAACATCCCAAATATTTGGGTTTCGTTCTCAATCCAGAGATCACTAGTAACAAACATGTGGATGTGCTGGTTTTTAAAGGCAGAAAATGCCTAAACATTCTGAAGTATATCTCGGGACGTGATTGGGGAGCCGATGCTTGCACTTTGAGAACTACTTACTTAGCTATCATACGACCTATTTTGGAATACGGTTTCCCCGTTTACTGTTGTGCCTCTTCCACCAACCTCCAGAAATTGGAAAGAGTCCAACTCAGTGCTTCTCGCATTATAACTGGCTTGTGCAACAGTTGCCCGAATAAAATTGCGTTGTATGAAACAGACCTTCAACCCCTCAGTCTAAGAAGAAATGCAGGCCTCGTAAAATATTATAATAAACTCAGTTACGGCTCCCAGAATAGAACTTCAGAATTTCTGCAGCACTGGAGTAATAACCAAAGACTTAAGAAAAAAAGTCCACTTTGTTAAATTGAGTATACTGGTATATTCGACCGTAATGTTGAGCAGCATTCCTTGAAACGATGTTTAGATCCGTCTGAGGGACTCCCTGGAGTCGGGTTCCATTTGGAACTTTTGTCTCGAGTTTCCAAGAAAAATGATATTTCGGTCCTGTTATGACAATCTGCTTTGGAAACTATACATGCAATTCCCGCTGAAGCTACCCTCATCTATACTGATGGGAGTAAAAGTGAGGACTCTCGCTCTGGTAGTGGTGTTGTCATTAAATGCACAAATGGAAATTTGTTAAAATAATGAAAATAAATTCTGACTTCAGTTCGGTTTTTAACCCCTTCGCGCCAACTGTCACGTATACGTGCCAGCAACGAACACACTTATCTACCGGCCGACACGCAGGCGTGCCAGAGCATTGTTGCGTTTACTACCGACTGTCACGTATTTGTGCCAGTACCTTGGAACGTTTTTCAAACTATAATTTCTGCCACAAGATGGCATTGTATGTCCATATGGTTTCAGATACATGTACATTAGACCTTCTACTCGAAATGAGAGAAGCATGACTCACATACACGTGTTTTTGATTATATAAACAAACAGGGAAAATTTATGTTTCCGAGTGGCGTGATTTATGATGTCTCTTTAAATCGCACTTTATTCGCATGTGGTAGTTGTTTATTGTAAGTAGAAGTTTTATATGCGCTAAAGCATTGAGCATTTCGGTTTACAGTTCAGTTTTTAGAAAATAATTAGATCTTGTTAGACGTGAATTCTTTCTGTTTTTACCGTTTCAATGTCAAAACGTCGAAAATGTTTAACAGAGCATGAAATAGAAGAAATCATGCAAAATATTTCAGATATTGATTCTGAAAGATTAACTGAAAGACATTTTCCAAAACTTTGTTCAGAAGAGACTGATAAGAAAATGAGACGACGATGCTTTGTTTGTTCACATTGCCGGAAAAATCCTCTAAAACGGCAAATGAGTTATTACGAGTTCAAGGAATGTAACGTAGGACTGTGTGTAGATTCATGTTTTCAAATTTTTCATACGAAAAGAGAATTTTAAGTAATATATTTAGTTTTCAGATGTATAATGTTAAAAGTCATAAAATGGTGAGTAATTAAAATAAAATGTGTAAAATATGCATTTAAACAAGAAATAAGGTAATTAAAGTATATATATAAAAATATTTATAAAGCATAAGCCGTGTAAATACTCTATAGAGCATTATTAAACAATGCGTTGATACTTTGGAAATTTCATGGATTTAGGCTTAGTAGCAAAAAAGCCCCCGGCCCTGGAGAGACGCTCGCGGAAGACACGCCGGCCTCCGCGATAAGCGTGCGTTTTTGCTACCTGGCTCGAAGGGGTTAAGAGTAAGCTTATAGCCATCGAAGAGGGACTAAATGCTGTTTTGTACTTTACAGATCTTAAGGCAGTATGGATTTTGTCTGACAGTTGTAGCGCTATCAAATATCTTTCAAACTGGCAAAGAGTTGGTGATAGGGCCGGAACCGCAATTTTTAGCAAACTTAGGCAGGTCTCGTCACTCTGTGAAGTGCATCTTCAGTGGATTCCTTCCCATGCTGATATATGGGGAAATGAAATGGCATACATTCTGGCAAGGGAGGCTTCTGAAGAAACTTTGCCAATTATCAATTCACTGACATACCTTGAACTGCATTCCATTAGAAGACATGCTGACAGGCAAATTTGGCTCGTTCCCCCGAGTCATCCCTGGTATCAAGCCGATTGTCCTCGAAGATCCCTTGCTATGGATTGCGAAAGATGTGTTCAGACAACACTTTCCCGATTCTTCAGTGGGCACTTACTTTTGAGAGTGGTGTCAAGAAGCATCCAATTTGTTCTAAGTGTCACAATGCATCCGCATCACCGGCACATATCCTCGAGTGCCTGGAGTTGTCTCTTGTGGACCTTTACGGGTCTCCTAAGCTTGTTTTCGATTTTCTAAAGGTGAATGGACTCATGGACCTTGTCTAGTATATTCCTAGGCATGGAGATTAGTAACAACAACAACAGCATGATGTTCTATTTTGAATTACTAGAAGTGTATGTTAATAGTAGTTTTCAATTCATGAAAAAAAATTCATTTCCACTATTTAATACAATCTATATTTTCAAATGAAAACTACCATTTTAAAATCACTTCAAATTTAAAAAAGACATAGTACTAAACCAAAAAAATTTTGATAAAACCAAAAAACTCTTTAGATTTGAGTTTGTGAACATATATTAGTAAAATGATTCTGAATATTCACAAAGTTCACTACATCAGAAAGAAGGTAATTGAATTTCTTATATAAAAAATCAATGTTTAGTAAAAGACTAAAAAAAAAAAAAAAAAAAAAAAAAAAAAAAGAGAGAGAGAGAGAGAGAGAGAGAGATAAAAGTTACAAAGAAATGAAATGAGAGATATCAAAATAAAATTAGCTGATGTTAAAAAATACACAATGATGATAATATTTGACACTTTTTTAAATTTACATTTTGCAAACAAAACTTTCAGAATACAAATGTTACAATGGCATTGAATTAGGCTAGAGATTCACAAGAGATTCCTTTGTTAAAATTTTAATCTCTGCAGAAAAATATAAACATATGGAGACCTCTAATGGCAATGACTGCAAAAAATGTTTCTAGGCTTTAAAATAAACTAAAAAAAATTAGTCTAAAAAATGGGGGGGGGGAAATGAGCACCAAATAACAAATTTTCTTACCTTGGGCCAGATTTGTTCAATGGTTGTGGGTGAACCCAACTCAGTCTAGGGCAAGTAGGTAATGGACGTATATGTGGTGTACCAAGATGGTGTTCTAACACTTTGGAATACCGATACAAATGGTTGCCTAGAAAACAAATTTTCAATATTAAATATTGTTATGCATTTTGTACAGAAATATATAATTTTAGTGAAATTGTTATATTTCTTTTGTATAATGTAACATGAAATCTAAAAGAGTGAAGCTTGCTGGAAAAGTAAGAATACAGTGGCAAGTCTATTTAACATTGAGTAAATGACTATCTTGCTTTTGCAATGTTTTTGGCGATTAACTTTTTGTCCACAAATTTGGCAAAAAATCGCCAAACTTAGCGACCATTTGATGATACTTTAGTCTGACCGTGAATCACCGTAACTGTACATACTGCAACTGAATAATTGTAATTTAGGTGCTCTGCAACAGGACTTGGCCTGCCTTCAGTAATTTTGAGAAGCAGAAAGTACTAGAAGCCGGTCTCTGCAGCCAGGTGAAAACTATACAAAACTGAAAAGAGCATCTGCTCCTGAAATGTTGCGAGTTATTAGTACAGAGCCACTTAGGAGTATTGAAAGCTTCGCCTTTTAGATGCACTTAATTACATTGTGTTTAATGTTCTCAGTAGTTTGAAGTGTAACCACTAATTGTACTCTGCGTTACAAGTATTTCTGTGGAATGTTCCAAAATTCTCAAGTGCTCTTTTTATAAAACAAATTTTATGAACCTGTCACTGGACCCATATGCATTCAATCTGTTATAAACCTATATGTATGCAACAATTTTAGTGTCAGAACTGGGGCTGAAAGCCAGTGACAAGAGCGACTGAGAAGCAATTAAGACAACCAGTGGCAGCCTTTGCTGCATGCAAAGAAGAGATGAAATGAACCAAGAGTCCAGTAAAGAGGATAAGAAAGCTGTCAAATAAGAGATGAATGTTGAAGTTCGCTAAGAATCTGCTAAAGAACAGATGAAAGCTGCTTGAGAAAGACTGAAGCAGGTCAAGAGGAAACAAAAAGAGAAATTACCTGCATAATATAAAACAAACTTAAGGCTATGGAAGGCAGAATAGAGGTGGTGGAAAAAAAAAAAAAAAAAGTTGGAGAAGTTGAAGAAAGAGTTTTCTCTGTCAAAGAACAAATAGAAAAGAGATTTCCTGCTGTGAAACTACAAACTGACAACAAGATTTCTGCAGTCGCCATAGAAGTTGACATCTTAAAGTAATTTAAAGTAACGGCAGAAAGCAATTCTGAAGGCTTTTAAATTTTTACCCTTGCCTTCTCATTCCTCTCTAAAGCTATAAGACCTCCTCACAAGTGTATAAAACACAATTTTCTATAGTGGCAGATATGAATGGAAGGGATTCCCAAGCTAAGGCCTGCCATCTCGCTGCTTCTCTGTGAGCAGATGCAGCAGGTATTCTTCAAACTCTGCCCGAAAACAAGAGGCTAAACTTTGATGCTCTATCCAGCACATTGGAGCTGTGCTTTGGCGAGAAGTGTTTAAAAGAATACAGCAGGCTTCAGTTAAAATCTTGCCTACAGAAGCCCATGGAAACACTCCAGAAGCTCACCACAGATGTTGAAATGCAATCTCATCTCACCTTTTCAGACTGCCCATCAGAAGCAAGAAAAATCCTTTTCCTACAGTACTTCATCAATGATATCTGGGATTCTAAGAAACAGAAAGTCCTATGAATAGTGAATGTGAAGGATTTAAAAAGCACTCTAAAGTATGTGATGAAATTCAAGGCAGCCCATCGAGTAACTTGCAGAGACCATCACCTAATCAGAGCTATTCAAGTCCAGGAGCCAGTGGATGAACTGTCTGCTTATCTAAACAATTTAAACAAGCAAATCAATGCCTTGAGACAGAATAATAATAGCAACAAACTGACCCTAAAGTGCTGGAACTGTGGTCGTGAAGGCCAGATATGAAGAAACTACAGAACACCTAGGGCACAGAATATAAGACCACTCCCCAGCAATGACACAGAAAACAAATTAGAGGCCATCTTGCAAAGCAGAGGTTGCTAGAGAATGAGAAGACCCATTTTAAAGCACTTCAGTTTTCTGTATTGAGTGGCAGCAGTAATGGACTTTGCATGGGACATAGAAATGGAGTTTCTTGCAATATGATCATCAATGTTGGAACTTATGTTACCATTATTTGGAAATATTTAGGTGAACAGTTGAAAGGTAAACTCATCTGAATGCTACCCTATGTTACCATCCAGACTGTGTCTGGTGATAAAATTGAAACTGTTGGGAAGTTAAATATTAACATCACATTTGGAAGTGCCGCCTTTCATCACATGGCATATGTGACTGATGTTATAGATCCTTGTATATTCGGATTGGACTTTCTAAGAAAATATTTTTTTTTTCTTTAAAAATAATAAATGGAATTCTGAAAGAACTGAACTGAAAACTGTAAAATATACATCTTCAGAAGGGATCATCACATGAAAACGTCAACTCCCTGTCTAAAAGACCCTGCTCAGAAAGTTGCCGATATATAAGTTGAAAGGAAATACAAATTACTTACCTTGGTCGCACAACAAGTTACAACTCCAGTATTGGCTGATCGAGACCCACAGAGTGATGAAGAAATCAGAAAAGACCATTTGGAAGACGGCGTTATTAAAACCATTAATTGACTTAATGGAATCTTCAGACAGGAAACATATGTGGCATGACATTTCGATTTACAGTCCTATGACAAAGCAATATTGGGTTCTCTGGAACTCACTCCATAGTCACCTTGGGATGGCCCTTACAGTCCTAAACAGGCTGAATGACGTCGAAGTTTGGATCCGTAAGTCATCAAATTCTAAGCCTAAAGTTTTTCATTACCAGAGGTTAACCCCTTACTATGACCATAATATATAGTGCATAATGTATGTAGTGTAAATAGATAAGACCACTGTTATATTTGTATACATATTTGCAAATTTGTGCATTTAAATGTTGGTTTAGCATTGGATTTGTTTTGTCATTTATTGTAATGATTGTTTATGTATTCCATTGATTTGCCTTAAGTATGGCTTCCTGTCCAGGGATTGTACTGTCTGGAACATGCAGTCCTTAGGCATGGAGTAAAGTTAAGAGTTTTGTACAGAAATAAATAAGTTTAGTGAAATTATATGAGAAGTTGTTCTATTTTATTTGTATAATGTAACATGAAAATCTAAAGCAGCAAAGGAGCGAAGCTTGTCACAAGAGTAAAAATATAGAGGCAAGTCTATTTAAAAATTTAGTAAAAATATAGAGGCAAGTCTATTTAACATTGAGTAAAAGGGTATCTCTCTAATTTGGTGAAATATCACTAAGCTGGCAACGACTTTGGCAACCACGTTTTCTTGCCAAAAGTCACTAAAGTTAGCAACCATTTGGCGACACTTTTGGTCTGGTTCCTGTATCACCGTGATATGTATTGCAATTGAATAGCTGTAATTTAGATGCTCTGTAACAGTACTCGGCGTGCCTTCCAGTAATTTTAAGAAGCAGAAAGTACTAGAAATATCTCAGCGGCTCAATGAAAACATTATAAACCAGATAGAATATCTGTTCCTGAATTGCTGTTGTGAATTTTTAGTTCACAGTGACCTCGGGGTATTGAAAGGCTTGCCTTTTGGATGCACTTGCTTGTGCTAACGTTCTTTGTAGTCTGAAGTGTAATGACAGATCATATTTTGAGTCAGTATTTCTGTGGAAAACACCTGTGGCTGAATGCACACCTATTGCGACCAGCAGTATGAGTATTGTGCAAAGTTTCAGAACTCTGAAGTGCTCTTTTGATAAAATAAATTTTATCAACCTGTCGTGGAACCTGCGTGCATTCAATCTATTGCACACTTGTGCATAACACAACAAGGTACACTGCGTAAAAAAAAAAAAAAAAGGACAGTTCTATATCTCCCATTCTACTGGGCTAATTGACAAAATTCAAATCGCGTTTTTCATTTCTCGAAATTGTTACTTAGGATATATATTAGATTTATATACAGCACTATTCTAACATAGGTATTTTGACACAAAAATCAGACTTTTTCTGAAAAAAAATACCAATTTTTTTTCATATTTCGATTTTACGACTCAAATTACGCTAGACTGCAAAGTTTTGTAAAAATTGTACCACTAGTTTTTAAAAAATTAGCTCTCAAAATTTTAGTTCCTCAATGTTAATTGAATTTGGCATATATTTATTAATATCTCTTTTTTTTATTAAAGTTTTTTGATTTTTCCTTTCACATTTTGAAATTTAGATTCATTCCAAATAAATCCATTTTTTGAGTTTTATTTTTAAAAGTTCTATTTTTAAATAAGTTTTATAAATTTTACAAGAAAAATTTTGAATTATAACCTACAAAATTTTTACGATCATCTTAAAGTAGGTGTAGTTTTAAGCATACCTGTACAACATTAGAGCTTTTTATTCAAAATTTTCTAAGATACACACAAATTTACATATTTTCGCTTTTTGAAATTTGTCATCTTTTTACTGAGTAATAATAACGTTGAATATGGTTTGTAGATTTTTGTTACAGTGAACTGAAACAGCTGTTTTTACCTTAAATTTTTATGGAGAATTAATTATATGAAATTTTTTCGCTCAATGATGTGTAATAAATATTTATTAATGCTATATGATAAGCTATTTGTTTTAAATTACAGAGTATATTATACAAATTTTTAACTATTTTTAAAATTTCTTTCTTTTTTCCTTTTTTTTTTTAAATATTTGTAAGAGTAAATTTTTAAATTTGCCATGTTATTATCTCCTAGTTTACTTTAACTGCATCTAAACTGAATTGTCTAAAACTGAGAAAATTTGCTTGATGTTTATTTTCACAATGTTTTTAAGCAAACAGGACATTGACAGTTTGGGTCATGTCCCAGCTTTAAAATATATATACATATATATAATCTTTAAATCAATCCTCTTAGAAATAATGTTTTGAGTAGCTAATTTTCTCTTGTGTTATAGATTGTATAAAAAAATTATCTTTAATATGATTTAGATTGTTTTCAGCCAATATAATAATCAGGTCACTCGGTGGTACAGAATAAACACTGTTGAACTGTTTTATTTCTTTGTCATTTAGCAAAGAACTTTTAATTAAAATATTTATCCTTTGGACTTTGCTTTAAACTTTATTTATAGTTAAAATGCCTAGAAAATGAAAAGCTGTCTTCAGCTGAAACTCAGTTGATGTAATTGATATTTTAAAAAATTTGACAAGAATGCAAAATTTATGGAAGCGTAACAATCGAAAAATCTTAATTTTCTTGTCTGAGCACTGAAAATAAATGTAGAAGGAAAGAAGAAAAATAGGGAGAAAAGTAAGTAAAAATTTGAAGAGAAATTTGGCTGTCAGAAATAGCAAGCTATTTCAAAAAGTTGGATGCTTTTCAATATACTTTCAGAATACTTCAAGGAATTTGGGTGTCTAAAGAAGAAACACTTGGACGTGTACACCAGCAAATACCATCAATTCAGCTAGTGCTAATGGAAAAGACAAAAACGATATCACTGCAGATTAAAGTGAAGAGCGACTGCTTTTCAACTATATGGTTCTATAAATTTAAATTACATTATCGAACATCATATCATCATAAACGGAGAATCCTATGATTTTAGTTGAATTATTTGAAGATTCAGGAATTTATCCAGTGATGTATGTGGATGTCACCTAAAGACGTTTTCTCTCTTGATGAAACCAATTTTTCCTTTCATCTCATGCCTTCAAAATACTTAGCCTCTAAAGACTGATAAAGGCTCTGAGAACAAATACCGATGAAATGGATTATTAAGTTACGGGAAAGCAGGGATATCTGCTTAAAAGGAGGGATGCCTTCGTGAAGAACTTTCTAAGGAAAAGTAGCTGGCATATATGTTACAATGAGAAAAACCATGAAAACGGCCATACAACCAGCCCATTCGCCAGGATTTGAACCTCGGAGCAAACTACCAGTGTTCAGTGACTTTACCACTCGGCCGTTTGTGGGCCTTTATGAAATGGAAGGCGATAACTTTATTTAAAATGAATCTTAGAAATACCAAGATGTTTCGAAACGTTGGATGCTTTTTAATATACTTGCAGAATGCCTGAATAAAAAAAGCAAGCCATTAAGAAGGGAAAAAAAAAATTGCATAAAATTTAGTAATCTTTTTTTCTTAATTTAAAATTTTTTAATCTTATGATATCTGATTCTTGCGATTTCAAAAATAAAATATTTGAATAAAATATAAATAACATTTTAAGAAACTAAATGTAGGATGATAAAATTGTATAAAGCAATGAGCACAATGATAAAGCTGTTTAAAGCAATATATGCAAGCCATCCTAAGTTTAAATGTTGGTTATACATCTTTCTCATTTATATATCTTTTCTGAATGGAACATTGAAAGGCGTGTTAACTGTGCTTTATGGTATTTTCTCTTTTAATATATGCAGTTTTCGAATGCATCGTAGTCTGGGTCACAAAGTATTTTTCCGAAAGAAACGCAATTCAAATAAATAAAATCAAATTCTGAAAAATTAATATTAATAAATATATTTAAAATGCTCAGTTCAAATGAATAAATAGAAAATTTAAAAACAATTACCTAAAGAGACAATGCAACAAAAAAAAAAAATTAAAAAACTACCTAAAATGATAACTAAAAATAAAATATAAAGAAAAATTTAAAAAAAAATAAACGATGCACCTTTTATTTAAAAACTACGCAGTTCGAATGGGCAAAACAGAAATTTGAAAGAAACCACGTAACTTAAACAATTAAAATAAAATTTGAAAAAAAAAAAAAAAAAAAAACTTAAAAAATAATAACAATTATAACTAAAAAATAATATAAAGAACATTATTAGAAAAAAGGAACGATTGTGACTTTCTTTCTGCTCTCTCACACGATGTAAAAAGGGAAAGGAAAATAGGTTGCCATATATTAAGAAGTTCGCCAAATGAACTCTTCTTGGCACAAACTGAAGAAAAATGTGCCAACATAAATTTATGAATTTCTCCGTAAATTTCACACCAAATTTTACAAAATTTCATATTTAGGCATATTTTGAGTTGTAGAATCGAAATATGGAAAAAAATTGATATGTTATTTGAGAAAAAGTCCTAATTTTGTGTCAAAGTACCCATGTTAGAATAGAGCTATATATAAAGCTAATATATATCCTAAGTCGTGTTTTCGAGACATGAAGAATACAATTTGAATATCGTCAATCAGCCCAGTAGAACAAAAGATATACAACTGTCACTTTTTTTTTTCGCAGTGTACAACCTGTACATACACAATACATAACTTGTACACTACATATACAATATATTTAATTTTTACTACACAGAGCTAAAAAATAAGCACCATCTAAAAAAATGAACATGTCTAGTTTCTTAAAATTATATATTCAGACTGATGGATTTAATATGAAAACTAAATGTTCAGCTTTGTGAATGAATACACAGTTAAATGCTTGGAAATCAGCTTTTTTTCCTTTGAAATGGAGGTCGAGACATTTGACTAAGTATTTACACATATTTCTAAATGTCACTGAAATGTTTGCCATTGGTACATTTTCCATTTCCATACTTTATAAGTTTCTTAACTTAAATTACTGGAAAGGAAGCACTGCAGCAGCTAAGCATTTTTTGTTTTACAAAAGTTCATTTTTATTATTAGAAATCAGAAACAAGTGAAACTAAAACAGCAGTATTCCTAAGTTATAGATTTCTGATAGCTTTAAAGAAAAGATATGGGACCTTCATATAACTATGTTCAAGTCAGATGTCTAAGAGTAAAATATATTAAGTTATATCATTATTGTAGATCAGGATTAAATTTTCTTCATTGATTTTTAGGTTTAATATTTAAAATCAATATTACTTTCTATTTGTTCAAATATCTATTTTATAATTATTATTTACCTTCCATTCTTTGAGGTAAGTCTTTAGCATCCAATACAAGATCAGATTTTAATTCTTCAAATATAGGTGGCACATGAGTTGTAGTAGCATACTGCAAAAGGGCATCTAACAGCCAAAAGCAATCTAAAAATGAATTGCTTATAAATAAATCTGTAATTAACTTTTCTTTAAGAAAGAGCTTTTATATCAGTACTTAACTTTTCCTATAAGTACGAACAATTTCAAACAAATCATAGTTCCTTTAATTATTCAAAAATACAAATAAATCAAAAATAATTTTAAGCCTTGAAATTTCATATTCAGCATACTAAGTAAATATTCTCAATTACATTTAAAAACTGTCACTTAAACTTTTCAATACTGAAAAGAAATCAAACTTATTTGTATATACGTATGTATGGTATACAGAGCATATATATATATATACAACGAAGTGCTACTGAATTAATGATAGTAAGTCAATAACAAGTTGGGCCTCCTCTGGGATTGATAATGGCCGTCACACAACGTGGCACAGATTCAATAAGTTTACGGAAGCATTCTGTGGAAATGGCTCTTCAAAAAACAGATAGGACGGTACATAATTCAGGAATGGTCGCTAGCGTTGTGTGATATGATTTCACACCCTTCTCCAAAATATCCGAAAGGTGTGCAATAGGATTTATTCTATTGCACTTGTACAGGACTTCTAAGTAGCCAAATCATGATAAAAATGTCAAAGTAATGATCATCCAACCAAGCAGTAGTCGACTGGAAGTTGTGAAAGGTTCCATCTTGCTGGAATACTCCATTTCCGAGTGAATGACAGGATGGCATAAATGGATGGAGATGATTGCCCAGCAACTCAAGGTACCGAATCATATTGAGTGAGGTTGGTACAAGTACCAAAGATTTCAAACACTACTAAGAGAAAACACCCCAGAACATGACCAAGCCTACATGGACTTGTACAGTTCCAACCTGGCGTGCAGGATCCATGGCTTCATGAACCTGACGCCCTATTCTTAGCCTCCCGTTGGTGTTAAGTAGTTGGAATCGAGACTCAACACTCCATGCTATTTGCTCCTAGCCCTCTAGAATTGATTGTTCTCTTGCCTTGGCAAGACTTGCCGCTCAATGGCATGCATTGAGCAATGGTACTCTTATGGGTTTACAGCTCCTGAAGCCCATATGGTGAAGTGAGGGTTGCACAATCCATGAACTGATTATACGACTGGTGCCCTGATTCAGTTGGGTGATAATTTGGGCTAATATTTGGCTTCTGTAGCTATGTACAATATGGCTGAGCCATTACACACCATCCTGGTTCAAGGCTAATTGTCCCTTGCAATTTGTCCAATCGCTAGGCCTTTTTTTCCCCATCATCCGTGTTTTCATTATACTCTTGACTCTGTCGGTCTTAAAAATCCTAGCCCTCCGACGATTTCGGAAATTGAATAGCCATGTGCCGAGCGCCTGCTCTCTATCTGCAATCGAAGGTGTCTAAATCAACTGAAAAGGCTGATTAATAACAATCATAGTACTAGCCATATAAGTAGTTACCACAATGCCCTCACGTGAGGATAAATGCTTCGCAGATCTACAAAATTTGCATAGCCATGTCTATCCCTAATTCAGTGGCACTCCAGTGTATATATGTGTGTGATGAAAAAGAGAAAAAGATATAGCAATGTTGTTAGGCATAGAACATAGATCTATACTGAAGAGGAAGAATACTGAACTGCAGATCCACAATGAACGGGAAACTGGTAGCCGAAGCAAATTAAATCATTTTATTTCAGCAAACATGTTGCAGCCACAAACAAGTTGGCAGTGGTTTACATTTTGATACCTTTGCAGTAACTTTGCAGGAAGCAGCATACTGTTTAAAAAACTGTATAAACAGCAGAGCAGCTAATAGCGAGTGAGTGTTTTATGCTCAGGGTAAAATCTTAATTCAGACTGAGTTAGCTTTGGAACTCAGTGCAGTTTGATTGGATAATTAAAACTGCTGTAAAATTATTATTGGCTGTTTGAGTTTTAGTTCCATTTACATCATCAGAATTAAGTAACAGTCATATGACATGAATTAATGTCAAAAGGATGCAATGTAGTGAGAGATTACTATTTTTAGAATAGAGAAGGGAAATTAATTTACACTGCTAATTTAAATTTTACATTTTACATGTTCTATTTTTATTATATATCCCTCTTCAAAGAGAAAAAGGTGTAGTGACAGAGAAACCTTTTCAATGAAAAAGCATTAAAGCAGTAACAAAGGATGAAAAATGTAAATCACAAAATTTTGACCAACATAATTAATTAACTGTAAAGTATAATTTTTTAACATTATTTTTTTAATAAAATTAATTTTTACAGTTTTAATAAAAATTTTAAGCATTTCAGTCGAAAAGTCTTTTTGTTTCAGAGTTCAAATAATAATAATTCTTCACAGAAAATTTTGCCATCACAGAGTATCGCAAAAACTTTTATATAACCATTACCTATTCCAAGACGAGTAATACTGCAGAAATTATGGGTGATAATTTAATTTGTAATTCCTTAGTTTTACTGAAATGGAAGCACCCACAGTAATTCCAAACAAACATTTCTATCAGTAGGGCTATCCACTTGAGCTAACCAGTGTGTCTGTTCTGCACCAGTGGCACTTACCAGTTTCCTTGCATAAGCTAACTGGCCTTTGTAAATTGCACTAATACATTCCATAATAATAATATATAAAAGAATTACACTCAATCATAAAATGAGAGCCTTCAACATTATCTTTTATGAATAGGGTTAAAAGAACAACTGTACAGAAGAAATAACAGGCCTCTCTGTTTTGAAACGAGTAATCCCTCAACATACTCTATACTTAACATAAAATCAACCGTAAATTTTAACATGCATTTACCATAATTTCATATTATTTATCTGTATTAATTTCACTTATTTTTTATATTCACTTCATTCTCAGAATAATTATAAAAGTCTTAAAATTAATTCAAACATTTTAAATAACTGATAAATATGATTAATGACATTACAATTTAATAATCTTCCTTGGGAAAAAAATTAAGTTCCTTGCTTATTTAAACTTAACCATACAATTATTAACTTTTCATTTTCATAAAACAAAACAGAAACAGTCCTATATATAAATTTCAAAATAACATTTAATTAATAATTAATCTAATTAATTATTTCATAGTAATGAGAAATTTGAACATACTCTATTAGGAGAAAATATCGAACAAAATTAAGAAATTCAAAACCATTAAATGAAAATATCAGAATACTTACATTTTCATTCTTTGAATACTATGCACTATGCACTATCTTAAAACAACAAGCATAAAGTATAAGAATTTTAACTAAAACTTTTCATACAAAATTTAAAATCTACTGAACCAGCATCAGTTTTGTTTCACTGAAAAACAGTAATTTAATACACTTTGTCCAAAAGAAAGTCATTTGGATAAACATAAGGCCATATATTAAAATGCAGGAATCAGAAATGTATTAAAAGGATTTCCCACAGTTCAGTACACAGTAAATGACACTTAATGACCTCTGTTAATTTTTGATGCAGCAAGGAAGTGTCTCACACACGGTAATTCAAAACACTTTTCATAAACACAGACTGACGAATGGAATAGTGATCATTTTGTAGTTGATTGAAATATAATCCTACTGAGCTTAAAGCACTTAAATCATAGATGATCTCACAGTATAATTTTTTTTCCGTAGACACAGGCAGAAAGCGGGATTATGAGTGAAGGAATTAAAAATAAGCATGGCACAGATTTGCACCAAAATCCATTTCATTAGATATACAGAAAAAGTGATGAATACAGCCCAGGTCCAATTCTTGTCAACTTAATATATAAGAAAAATAGAATATGTAAAAGATAAAATTTAAATTAGCAGCATAAATTAATTTCCCTTCTCTGTTCTAAAAATAGTAATCTCTCTTTCACTGTGTCATTTTGAGATTAATCCATGTCTTATTAAGTGGCAAAGTCACACATTCAGGTTCCTGGGCCTTGTTCTACCCTGTTTGTATCCTGTCGATATTGTATATATCTTTTGATAAGCATAGCATAAAAATTGGTGAAAAAGTTTAAAGATTTGCAGGTGATAGCAATATAGGCATGAAGATGTTACAAACATAGTTCTGAGAGCGATTAAAAATCTTGAGACGAAATTGGAGAAAATATTTTGCTGCAAATAGTTGCTGAGATGAAAAATTCAATTCGCTTCTATGGAGAGTTAGTTAAAAGTAATGGCGATGGAGCTAGCACATATATCAGTAAGGAAGGCAGGTCATCTACTATAAAATAAGCTGTGGAGAATAGCAGGAGGAGGAGAGAAAGTGCAGCACAAAAGTTATTGGCAGGCATATTTCAGGGGGAGGGTTTTCAGAGACATACAATTTAGGATTGGTCGAGCCAAAGTAGAAGGAGTGGGGACTAACTTTGCGTTAAAAATTACCTACAGAGTGTGATCTAATCAAGCAGATCTTATTTAAATTTTTACAAGTTTTAGAATTTAAAAGTTTAAGTAATTACAGCCCAGCTGTGAAACATGTCTAGTGATAGGAAAAATAAACATACAAGCATACCAAAACGTATCATGAATTAACATTAGTACTCGTGTTAAACTGTATCTAGAACTAGGATACTTCCTAGGTTTAGCATTACATGAGAAATTTAAAATAAGAGTTTAGACAACTATTTCAATAACATTCGTATTTATTATTTGCTTACAGCATTGATTTCAGATAGCATTTCAAAGTATACGAAAAGTTTGTCTATATTATCTGTGTGTTCTTTCAGCTTAGGGATTTTTTTTTTAAAGAAACTTTTTTCAACAGAAACTATTAGAGCATCAAGTCCTTAAGGTTGTATATATATCCTCCATGTTTTCAGACTACATATCGGTTAATAGGAACAGAGGAATGGGAGCTCTTGTTCGATGCTTAGTAAGTTGAGCAATTTTTTATATGGTGAAACCTCTATCCATAATTGTTTGGGCAATTTCTTGTTTACCTGAATTCATGAGTAGTCCTCTCAGAACTACTTTGATGGAGCTCTGGTACTTCTCATTAATAATGTAGTGCTCAACTGCTTCATTTTTGAATG